CCCTAAAAGGAGAGTTCTCACATGTAGTTTTCATTATGATATTCAGACATTTCATGGCAATTATAAAAATGAATGGGGATAGTGGGTCGCCTTGTCGAACACCTTTTGAGATGTTGAATTCAAGAGTTGGAGAACCATTTATAAGAATGAAGCACGGGAAGAGAAGAGGCACTCCCTGATCCAAGCTCTCCATTTCACTCCAAAACCCATCTGCGACATAATTGAATCTAAATATTCTCAATTAATAGAGTCGAAAGCTTTTTCGAAATCCACTTTAAAAATGACATCTTTTTCTTCACTTTTTAGCACATGAGATGAGCTCATTTATAATCATATGGTCGTCACAGATGTTTCTACCCTTGATGAAATTTGCTTGAGATTCATCAATAACTGAAGTGATAATACGCTTGATACAAAAGGAGAGGGATTTTCCAACAATCTTGTAAAATATTTATTCTAAGATTTGCTATTCAACATTATCAAATAATGATTTTGTAATGGATATTGTTTGTCCGGCTAATAAATGTATGGTTCTGCGGCTTACGACGCATCAAATTTGTCATGGTTTTCAAAGACAACCGGTTTCTTTACGATCAAAAGTTCAAAAATTCAAATGTAGATATTTAAAGCGTATATAGGGTCTTTGAAGGTTTTCTTTATGAAATTTAAAGGACCATACGAGATTGGAAAAATATATTGAGTTAGTGGGTCTGAGGAGGTTTTCTTTATAGAGTTTAAAGACTCCTAGAAGATTGAAAAACCATTTTATATGGAAAAAAACTCAACCATGAAAACGATGATTGCAATCAAATCTAAAGCTATTCGACACCTTTTCATTTTTGAGATTTGAGTTCATTTTGTAAGTGTTCGTGAATTTTAAGTTAGAAATATTATAAAAAAAATTAATACAATAGAATACATTTTATTTTTTAAGGTTTAAGTTTATTTTGTTCGGTGTTTATAAAATTTTAGTTATATAAAATTGAAAATCAAAATGAATAGACCAAAATACCCTTTCTTAGGTAACTTTTTTGTGACATTGTTTTTTTCAAATGTTTTCGTTGAATGTAGGAATGTTCACTTATATGTTTAAAAAATGATCATTAATTTATTATACACCAATAACATTCAGAATTGGTTAAAGGAGAGATAAGATGTTGATAATCGAGTCTCGACCCGATAATATGAAGATTGCTCTGGTATAAGACAAACACGAGCTGACATTGGATGGTCTCTTGTATATGAAACATCTAATCCACAATATAGAATAAACATAACAAAATCTACCATAATAAATAAGAATGATTTTGCTACATGTCTTCTTCTCCTTCATTTTGACACTTGTCATTTTCTAGATTTTTTTGAATTATTTAATATCCACTTGTCATTTTTATAGTTTTTTTCTTTTTTATTCAAATTTCACCTATTAAATGTCACATCATATTAATTAGTTTTATTAATAGATTAATTAATGCACATAATAACTTTCTAACTGTGAATTCATTTTTCCATTAATATATTAATTAATGTAGATGTAGATAGTATATTCCATTTGTAAAATCATATTAATTAATTTTATCAGTATAGATTAATTAAGACTAAATTACATAAATGATCAGTGTGGTTTACCAAAGGTCATAAACTCAGTCGTTACTTTTTTTTTTTTTGAACATGGTCCTTGTGGATATCAAAACTTACGTGAATGGTTTTTTTTTTGTCACACCGTTACTTTTGGTCCTTTTAATAAACTCGTGTAATACACGGGTCTCACGTCTAGTAAAAAACATATAATAACAATAAAACTTAAAATAGGGGGAAAAGAACCATGTATATATTATACTGACAACAAAAACAATGAAATCTAAGAATAAAAGAAATGAAGATATAACAATAAAAGTTAAAAGAAAGAGAACTAAAATTTATTAGTGATAGTGGAAAAATATTAGCATCTACGTTATTCTGATTAAAGTGATAATTATTATTTATGTTATCTTAGATTATAATAAGATAATGATTTTATCAAAAACAAAATGTAGCTTACTTAATTCTCGAAGTTGACTAGTTGTGTAAAGCAGTTAGTTTTGTAACGACTAACTATAATGTACAAGAATAGCACCAAATTATTTTAAAACAAAACTGCAAATTTGCATTTTTTTTCAAGAAAAATATCTAAACCACAAATTTTTTTTAGATTGGTGATATTTTTGCCACCCAACTTTGGCCAAATGGCCCATATGGCCTGTCAACTTACTCTTGCAATATTCTTCCTTATAAAATGCACTTTATTTCCAATTCAATCCACCAAAAAGCATTCATAAAATTTCACCAACAATTTTTTTTTATTTTCATAAATATTGATATCGATGAATGCAGTTGAAGCAGAAATCTCTACAACTCCAAATTGCAGATTTAAAGCTTCAGCAACATGAAGAAAAAATGGTGAAAGAACGGTCCCAAATGAAGATGTATGCAGAACAAGTGTCGCAATTGTTGGCAACCGAAAAGAATTTACGGTTATAGTTAACTGCTGATGGTGAAAAATTCCAGCAATTCCAGGTTAAGCTTTTCTATTTTTTAGTTGTAAGGCAAGTATTATCAATAATGGATACATTTTTAACAAGGTAAGGTTGTTTTCTTTTTTGTTTGCTTCACATAATCTAATGGAGCCCATAAAAGATTTTGTTGGTTAGTAATGAAAGAATCTGAAAATATTGGTTCTGAAATCCAAAGTGAGTGAGTGGTAATGTTTTGTTCTGTATTTGGAAGTTGTAGTTTGGCTGTGGGTGATGATGGAATTGTCGTAGCTTTCATTTCATCTCTTCACTTGATTTGCTTCTTTTGAAATTGCAGGTCACTTTTAACAATTTACATCATAAAATATTTATTGATCATGTCAATATTACTACAATTATAGTTTGTAGGCATGAGGTGTTTTTGTGACTAAAACAACTATACTAGCTTAGCTTCTGCTTCTGTAAATGGCAAAACCAAAACCAAACATTAACAGTTGTTTAAAAAGTGACTACATAAAATATCAATTCATAAGTGAATAGCAATTTGTAGTGGTTATTTTGGTTAAATGTGTACATAGGGTTTAATTATATCTTCGATCTGTAAATAAGTTTTTATATAAAATATAATACCTTATCCACGAGAACGCTACCGACGCACCACCAATAACGCATCCACCACGAAAATAAAAACAAGAAACCTAGCAATCGAAAAAATCGTAATACAAGAAACCTAGTGTTTAATTTGAGAATGAAAACGCTGCAGGGAGGGAAAGTGAAGGCAAACTTTAACCTGAATTTTTCTGTGCGTATAGAAAATGTCTAGAGAGAGAGAAAAGAAAATAAAACACAAGATTAGAATGACGGAGAGGTTACGCTATCGGATCTGAACGACACCCTATTCCATACGATTACTTCCTCCTTTCGCGTCCGGTTTCAGAGATAACAAGAGAAGTGGATTTTTCCTTAACGGTGCTCATTAGCTTCAGGAGTGGTCAGCCTCGCTGCACATTGCCCTGGCGCGCGCTAGGAGCTCGCCGGCGATGCAAAAGAGAAAGAAAGAGTATTGGTCGGGTCGCGGCTTTTTTGTTTTTTTTTTTTTTTTTCAAAATAAAACCTAGGAAAATAATATACTATCATCCCCTACATTTTTTTAATTAGCAATAAAAAAACTTATGCGCCAATAAAAAAAAAAATACGTGATAATATGCTAGGAATACTAACACTCCTTCAGTCTTAAGTCATCCGGTTCTTAGTCATACATTCTTAAGAGTAAATTATAAACATGGTGGCTACAGTGTATCTTTCTCCCAATTTTGTCCACATTTTTACTTTTGAATCAAAGTCATCCATATTGTTAGTTTTTTTATACAAGGCAAAAAGGAATATGACATTCTAATTTTTAACCTATGTCTATTGTTAATTTGGAAATTGGGAACAGTCAACAGCCGACTAAATCCAAAAACTGTTGGACTCACTCATTTGGCAAGGCTATTGTTAATTTGGAAAGCTAGAAACGACATGAGGTTCCAACAACAAAATGTGTAGGCATGCAATTGTGTTCGAAGACATGGTTATTAATGTTTTTTATTGATTAAAAATAGGGTGAAGCTTAGTTAGGTTAATTGAAATGTTTGGATTATCTTTTCTTTTTGGCTTGTAATGTTAAAAATGATATTGTTTGTGAGGGTGTGTTTGCTAATATATTAATGTCGTTCATGAAATTATCGAACACCTCAAGAGCCCAGTTGAATAAAAGGGAGATGATGGAGATGGAACTAGGTTTGAGAAGTTATATGTTATGTGATAAAGTCATGGTTAAAGCAATAATGATTTAATTAATAAATAATTAAATACAAATAGATACGAATTTGCAAATTGCAACTTTGCAAGTAACCCCTCCGTCTTTCTCACACCAACTAATAAAGTTGGAATCTCACCTAAACTTTTAAATAGATAAAATAACAAAACTCAAAACTCATTGTCTAAAGTCAAATCCTATCTTCTTCACAAAAGATGTTGACTGTTGACACCCACCCACGTGGACGATGTCATCAATCATCATTGTTTACCAATAAAGTAACATTCAAACCCTCCATTTATCACTTGAAAGTCAACTACAACCCTCCACTTTCTCCATCCAACACTTACTTGAAAATCCATTATCCATTACTTTTTAAGACTTTAAACATCATCATCATTCATCCACAACACAAATACAAACTCCTTTGAAAAAGAACACTACTATAATATAGCCTCTATTTCCTTACCTACAAACAACATTGACATTGACATTGACAGACAGAATTATTTTGTGTATCTTGATTAATAAATACAACAAACTACAAACCTCTTCCCCAAAACGAAACAACCTAAAAAAGACCAAAAAAGACGGCTTCTCCTATATCAGCCATCCAATCATCCTAACTCCTATCACTGCTGCTCAATTCCTTACATATAATACAGAGGCGAGATAAAACAACATCAACATCATCTGCTACCTATATCACCGCTATTACTGCCATTGTTGTACTGTTCTGTTTTAGCATAATGCATTCTAATGGCTGCCACTGGATCTGAAACCAAAACCCCTTTGAAAGGCTCCTGGTTTTTGTATGAATACACTTGTCTTGTTTGAAAACCAGAAGATGAAGAAGAATTACCAAAACCAGAAACCAAGATGGAAGAAGGATCTGGTAAAGAAGGAAACCCGGTGGTTTGTATTCTGTTCCCATCCCAAAACCCATAACTCCTCCTCAATGGAACCTCTGATAAACCATGATCATTATTATTATCAATATCAAACTTCAAGTTAAAAGATGATTTTCTTTTTTCACCATTCTCTTGCAAACTACTACTAGTATTTGTATTTGTATTTGTATTTGTTTTTGATCCAGATAAAGATAAAGAGGGCTTTATTAGAATCTGACCAAAAAGTTTCACATCACCCTTACCCTGTCTCTGTCTCTGTCTCTGACTCTGTTTTTGCAAACAAGAATCACGTGGCAGACAGCGCTCTGGTAACAGATTTTCATCTTTTTGTACAACAACTTGAGAGGATTCAACACAATCCATTAATGAATGTTTTGGAAGATGATGATACCCATCAGTACTTGAACATCTTTGAGAACCACCAATGCTTTTTCTAAATGAGAGTCTTGATGATGTATCAATATCATCTTGGCTAACACTCTTCCTGTGTGAACTCACACCTGGAAGACAACCCTTTGACTTTTCTACACCATTCAACTCCATTTTGTTAGTGTTATTGTTATTCACAGGTTGCTGCTCAATGCTTAAATCCATACAGATACTGCTGTCTCTTGAATTAAGGTCCTGTAACTGTTTTGACTCCTCGTTTACTACAATCTGCTCAGATTCAGATTCAGGAACTTCTTGCTTTGAATCAGATGAGTGAAGGAGGTCTTCTACTTCCATCTTTACATCTGAAGATGATTTATCGCATGAGATAACCGACCCACTATCCACCATGCATGTATCATCATGACCATGACCATGATCAACATCACCATCATCATCACCATCACCATCACCAGCTTTACTGTGAACGGAATCCAATCCAAGACATTTCCGAGCCTTGCTGTAGAAAACTTTGCACTCATCTCTGGACCTTGTTTTCATGCATCTTGAAATCATTGAAAAATCCTTCCCATAAGATCTCACTGCCTGCAAGAAACTAGACTTCTCTTCATCTGTCCAATCAGAAGAAGTAGGATTCATCTCTCCTCCACAACTCTCATCACCTGCACCAGTTTCCTGCTTATTACAAAACATTTCTGAATGCAGTTTATGTTCACCATCCACACTGGCAACCATTTCTGAAGCAGCACCAAGCATCTCAAGGGAAGTAGCATCCGCTGCCATTCGCCTCCCAGATGTCACCAGGTAAGTATTAGTAATACAAGACATCCCTTTTGCAAATGCTGATTTCTTCTTTATCTTCTGAAAACAATCAGACTTGTGATTCTTGTAGTAAAACTCAACACAATCACCACATGTTTTGTTTTTCAGAAAAGACGCAATTTTCTTGAAATCTTTTCCAAACAAAGAATACTTCTCCAAAAAGATTCCCTGCTCTTCTTCTGTCCAGGCACTGACAATGGATCTTTCCTTTTCAACTTCAACAGGGTTCTCCACCAATCCATTATCTGAAACAAACCTTGTCATCATTCGTTCGCTCCTGTCTAATATCAAACAAGGCATCTTTAATGTCTTTCTCTGAACCTTCACCCGTGAATCTGAAAGCAGCTTCTTCACATAATCAAGTGTCTCTGTGGTTGGAACCAGGCTCACACTCCCACCTACAACAAAAAATTTAAAGTTCAACACAGACAATATAAAACACAGCAAGATTTCATTTTAAAATGATTCAGTCACTTACCAGGAGAATATAAACGAGAATAAATTGAAGAGCAGTATTTCTGATGATCAGCATATCCTATACGTGAGCTCGATTCAAACTTCTTCTGTGACTTGGCACCAGTTTTTTTTACAGAAAGCAACTGAAGATCTTCCTTCCATGCATGTTGTAATACCCGAAACTTACTTGTGATAACCCTTTCCTTAAACTTTAGAAAACGCTTCCTCGAAGCAATTTTAGTCTTATTCAATGATTCATCGGTGGATTTTGAAATCTTGTTACATAAGTGTGTAGTTGGCAATAATATCCTATTAAGTTCATCACAAGTTTCATTTGCTATTACTTTGTTTGTAGCGAATATGAAATCATATAACTTATCATCTTCTCTGCCATTATCTACATCCTCACCATCTGAAACTGTAGAGCTACTGCGGTCCCCACATGAAGTTACAAAGCCTAAAGCATCATCATTACCAACATCTTCAGAGCATTTAGAAACGGATTCCACAAATTCAGATGTTGTGTCTGAACTCTTGTCATCTGAATCATTAACTTCTTCTGGAGAACTATCAGTTTTCTCCACAGGCAAAGGTCCACCACAAGTCTTATTCTGGTATTCTGTTGGGAAAGAACCAGCATCAGAAACCAAACACTTCAATTCATGCTCAAGAGAATCAATTTCAGTTTCTGTGATTTCAAGTGTCTTTGTCAGCTCTGCTTTCCATACATGTAACTTGTCCATTGCCGTAGATTTCACAAATTTAGACCCTGGAGAACACAAATCATCAGCCTGCAGCAGTTTATCAAGTGCAGAGCTCAAGTTGAGCTCCAAATTCTCCAAATTTGATGATAATCCCTCTGTGTCATTCTCAGACACATGACAAGAAGCAGGATTACAGGTGCTGTTATCCACTGTAACTGTCTTAGTAGATTCCTTTTCTTCTAGACCTGTCATGGCAAAAGAGCACATAGAGTTTTAGATTCATCCTTGCATATCATATCACAAAAAGCAATGTTTTAAAATTCAGTGTTTTAGTTGACACGAGGTCAACCCGGTTCTCATAATTTTCATTCATTTTATATATTCTGCATTATATATATATATATATATATATATATATATATATACACACACACACACACACACACCACACATATATATATATATATATATATATATACATATATATATATACACACACACATAATTTGATGTCTCACAAGTTGAAAGATAAGAAAAACACATCGTCACAAGTTCTTGATTATGAGAATTGATCCTGGTTCAAGTTGTTTTCATGTTTGTTAGCCTTTGATTCAAAAAATAAAAATAAAAAATTCTTGAATCTTGTTGTCAAAGTTGTATTTTTATAGCATGTTGAAGATAAAGATTGTTTGTATAGTTACAAATGATGATACTGCACTAGAAGAGAATAGCTGGAGAATAAAGATCTAGAATAAAAAAAAAGTTTCAGAAAAATAATGGAAAAAAAGACGCATGCGATGAATATAAGCATTATACAAGTTACTGGTCAAGGTTTTTATACAATTGGCGAGGCTTCCAAGTTCCAAGTTCCGTTTTTTGCGTATTTTTGTGGATTCTTGAATACCATTCTGAAACGCTCAGCTTAATTCTCCAAATGACTGAAATTTTTGTGACTAAATATGAATAAGCAACAATGATCATGAGTTTTAAGTGGTTCAACTCGGGTTACTGGTTCCGGGTTCACCATTCATGATTGGCCTGCTCTCTTCACCGAGTCAAGATCCAAGGTTCAACAGGCTGGGTCAACCCGGGTTTTAGAACAAATCAAAAGTATATGAATTACCTGGAGAGGAACTGCAGGCATACGAGTAAGGAGTAGTAGGAGATGCACATTCTGAATAACCATTGACACTGGGGCTTTTATCAGTCAAACTAGAAGGACTAGTAAGCAAAGGTTCAGAGCCACTGACACCATCAACCATACCATTTCTAGCTCCAGCCTCTTTATCAAGAATATCTTCAGGGTCAACCTTCTTTTTCTCATACTTGGCAAGACCTTCCCCCCATCCAAGGCGCTGCTTCTTGCGGGAGGTGGCCTCATCATGAGTCATTGGTGTCACACAGGGGGAAGCATCCTCAGAAGGGGATCCAAGAGGAGTGTTGTTACCCAGTTGGCTGTTCTTAGCATGTTGGTCAGCTGACTGAAGTTGGTCCAGCGAGTTCACAAAGTCATTATGGGGAAGAGAGTTACCGTTGGGTGATGCAGTGGTCTCCCAAGAGTTGACTCCTTTAGGGTCTTTCAGACTACCAAAAGCCATACAATTATTCTCTTTGCTGCCTGATTCAACTGTTGTATTGTGCCAGCCACCACCAACCCGTTTACCATGAAGACCTTCACAGGCAAATAACCAACAAAAAACACATAAGGAAAATCACAAACTAATTAGCGAAAGGAAAAAAAATCACCCCATGTCAAGACAGTAATTCTTGAAGACAATATAGCTTCCTCCCAGCCCAGATATCATGCCAATAAATACAAGATATAACAACAGATCTATGAAATTACTAGCCATACGGTTCAAATTAAATGACTATCTTCCCTTCCTCTCAGATCTGTCCCCAATTCTATATGCCTGTAGCGCGTGTGCGTACTTAGGAGAAGAGAAGAGCAAGGCAGTCTATAACCTAAAGAAGTAGACTTGGTTCACTGAAATTAATTTCAAAGCAAGCAGATTTTTGGTTTCCAAACCCCAAGTATGTCACCAGAATGGGAAAACGCTAGAAACATAACACAAAAACTAACCGGAAAAGGGTCGGCGGAAATCAGACGGTCCGCCTCCAGCGCCCCATCGACAAAACGAGGAGGATCCATGGATGTTATGCTGCGAAGGAGTAGTAGGCGGCTCTCTCCATCGCGGCGGAACAATTCCTACAGGGTCCGCATACGACGGCTTCCTATCCTTCAAAAAGTCCTTCCGGTCGAATGGCAATGGCTCCGGCGGCATCAATGGTTCAATTTAATCAAAACCAGTTCCAACGATACCTTATCCACAAGAACGCTACCGACGCACCTCCAATAACGCATCCGCCACAAAATCCGAAACGACAAATCAATCGAAATAACGTCTCTTTGTTAGGGTTATTCCACAACAAACAACAAGGAGATCTGACAAACTATTCCACAGTCGAAATCGGTGAAGATTAGGGTTAGATTCTAAGAAATGAACCGCGACCGTGAGGGAAGAAGAAGAAGAATGAGAAGTTCCCAATTTTCTGAGCGTTTGGAAAAATCTGTAGAGAGAGAAAGAGAAGAGAACGTGAAGTTGATAAGCTGAGAGACAAAATAAAAATTAAAAAAAAGAGTTGTTAAAATGACGGGTAGGTTACCCTCTCTTATGTATCTCAACGGCACCCCTTTAAACCCGAATTTATTCCTGTTTTCACGTCCGGTTTGAAAATAAAAAATCTAAATTAAATAATAATTCCTGTCTTTTTTTGCTTTTGCTGTTTCCCTCCGCTTTCTCTTATTCATTGCCCTAATTGCGGGGATGCTTGCGGATTTTCAAAAATACCCTTGGCTTTGGGTCAAATGGCATTTTTGTTTTTGCTTTCTACTTTTATTTTTCATTTTGTTTTTACAGTAATATCTAATAAATGTCAACGAAATTTTTTAAATTGTTCTAATATTTCTAATATTTTTTTTGAACGGCTAAAGTGTTCTAATACTAATTAATTATCAAAATCATAAATAGTTTTGTTGTTTTTTATGTCAATAATATTAATCAAAAAAATTATTAACTATTTTTTTTTACTTTTATGTTTATTACATTTAACTTATTTTTTTCAATTATTTTACCTCGGTTGGAATTGGGTTCGAGAAGAGTTCGACACTTGGCATTTACATCTTTGTTTTGATTATGGACTAGGTATTTAAGTGGTGGATCATGGACCGTAGACAAGGTATCCCCGTGTGTTTATAACGCCTTCTGGTATAGATAGCACGAGAGTGCTCGTGGTATACGTGGACCACGACCACGACCGTGCACACCATCCCGGCCGGTCGTGGTCGATCGTGGTCGTGGTTGGGCGTGTACAACGAAATCAAACGGAAATTGCTATTGGTCGATGCTGCAACGACTAGTTTCTTTTGCAACGGAATTTTTTGTTTTTTTTTTCTTTTTTACCTTTCAAACATATTAAACTTCTTCTATAAATACCACACTTATTAAACATACTCACACAATTTCTACTTTCTTTTCTCACAAAATCACACACTTCTTTTACATTCTTCCAAAACCAATGACTCCTAAAAGAATGAATTGGTCAGAAAATGAATAAGAGAACTTAGCACGAGCATGGGTAGCGACTTTAGAAGACTCATTAACGCCTCCTAATTTTTGGATAAAGGTTGAAAACGTTTTCCATGATTTAATGGGTTGCCAAAATCGTAGTGTTGATGAAATATGTTCGAAGTATCGCGATATGAGAGTTAAATGTCTTGAATTCAATGGTATTTATAACTTTGTTATAAACAACGTACACGAAGGTGACCCGTTTGTTGTGGTCATGAACCAATATGAAGACACAAAACACACACCGTGTAAACACGTCAAAGCTTGGCAAAAATTAAGAGAGTGTCCAAAATTTAGTGAGTAAAAATAAGGTTTAAAAAGTAGTTTTAAGTTGTTTGTGGTTGCATTTTTAAGGTTTTTTATGTTTTTATTTTTTATTTTATGTTGTTTGTTTTAAATTAATGTAATCTTGTTTCATTTAATAAAAAACTAGTTTAATAAAAAAAATATGTTTTATTGTGTTTTTGAATTAAATTTAATTAAAAAAATGTGTTATTGTGTTTTAATGTATTTTTTAATTAAATTTAAATAAAAAATGAGGTGGAGTGTTGTGTTTGTGGTAGATATCACATGTTAGTGGTAGGAGAATGTGGTGCTGATGTGGCACCCACCACATATGTGGTATGTGGTGGGTATAACGGATGGTCTAAGGGGGTATATGGACCCCACTTGAAAGTGGATACTAACCTCCATTTTATTAAAATAGCATTTGAAAATTTTATTTGTTGCTCAAATTATCCATTTTGACATCCATTTTCGTTGAAAAAAAACTATTTTTGTAATATTTTTAACAAAAAAAAAGCCCAAAAAATCTCAAAATTTCATATTTTTTCTATTTTTAAATTTTTGTTTAAAATTTTATATAAGATGAACCTCATTAATATTTTTTATGGATCCTCCACTAGGTATCTCATAAGATACAAAGTGAGGTACCATGTTGTATTTTTTTTTTTTTTTGTTTGCAGATGATATTAGTTTGGTTGTTGAATCTATAAATGAGTTCAATGTTATGTTGGATACATGGAAACTAAGATTGGTTATTTATGGTGTAATTTAATGGGGAATAAAATATAAAAAAGATACAAGTATGCATCAGTTAGTAGGTCCTACAACCAAATGATAGTTTCAATTATCTATTGTTTATGATCCATAAGGAGAGGGGTGTTTAGTAGGTCTTAAAACCAAATGATAGTTTCAATTATCTATTGTTTATGATCCATAAGGAGAGGGGTGTTGAGGATGTTATCCATTATAGAAAAGTGAGGTGGATAAAGTGGAGAGCAGCCACTAGAATTTTGTGTTACAAGGAAATGCCATTGAAACTTATAGGAAATTTTTGCAGCGTCATTGTAAGGCCAACTATGTTGTATATATTTGAATGTTGGTGTAACGCCCGTAGATCCGGGCTAGTCAATTTAGAGATAATAGGGGTCGAAAACGACTTTTCGACAAAAGATTATTTAGAATAAATAATCTTAACCAAGTTGTAGAATATGTCTCAAGGGTTCCGTACATATAAAAAACGCCGAAATCCGAGTTATAACGAATAAGTTATGGCCCGTCGAAGTTTTTCGGCAAAACCGGCACAGCATCGGGAGACGTAAATAGTGAATTTAAGATAGAGAACTTTTTAGCCTTAGTGATCTAAACAAATGTTGTAGTATACGTTAAACCGAGAACATACAAAAAAAGAACGCCCAAATCTGACTTCGTATGAGAAAGTTATGATTTTTCTAAGATTTGGCATAGCAGTGCACGGCCCGAAACTCGAATTTTAGTTCGAGCGGTTTTTGGCCGACGCGACCTAAATGAGAGTTGAAGATCTCATTGATAGGAACTCAACGATAGAAAGACAGACGAAAACGGAGTCCGTATGAAGGAGTTACAAATTCTCAGCGGTCATTTAACAGTCTAATCTCTTCCTATTGTTAAATATAAGATCGGTCGAGAATTAGCCGACGGAGTCTAAATGAAAGTTGTAGATCTTGTTTTTACCTACGCGTGGATATAAATAACGTCGAAAATGGAGCTCGTATGCGAAAGTTATGAATTTTTTAAAATCGACTAATTTCCACCCTGTGTGCGATGCCACGTGTCAGCACCAGGCTGTGACTTGGAGCCCAAGCTCACTCACGACGTGAACATCAAGAGATTCACGATGTGAACCTTCCTCCAGCCCCTATAAATAAGTGGTGAGGCCTCCATTCATTCTCACACCTTCCTACTTCTTCCTCTCTCTCTAGAACCTCTCTCTAGCCCCCGAAACCCCCCGAAAAGCCTAGGGAACCTCCCTAGCACGAGGCGGAAGCCCCGGAGCGCCCGACGGCTCCGAGAAGAAGAGCCTTTCGGCTCGGGAACGCTGCTCCAGCGGAGCCCAGTTTTGCAAAAAACCCGCTGTAAGTGAGTTATGCCTACCCTATCTTTAGTATAGCTTATGTTTTAATATAGTAACATTATTAGGACCTTAAAATAATTATTTGGGCTGTTATTATGAGTTATATAGAGTGTTGTTTAAACGCTTATATAATAATAATAATAGCTAGACTATTAATTAGTCGCGGTTAACGTTAGACTAAACCCTAGTGGTATTGATACTAGGTTTTGTCAAGGGAAATTGTTTTGAGATAACGAAGTGTTGTACGAGTACCGAGTCACCACCTAATCAAGTGAGTGCATAGTCCCTTTCATGAACATGATTTTAATACAAGTATTGATTGAAGTATTAATTATATGTTTATGTGCGAGTTAATTGATGTTGCGTGAAATACGTGTTAAAGAACGTACCTGATTATATATGATGATGTAGGATAAAGAGTAAACCTAAATTAATTATGAGGAATATTGGGTAGTATTTTCTTACGAGTACGAGTGAGTTATACTCAGAGAATAGAACTTTAGTATATGTCATTGATCCGGGAGTATGGATTAGACATAGTCATTGTCCCTAGTCCGAGAGTATGGATTGGACATAGTCAATCGTCCTTAGTCCGGGAGTATGGATTAAGACCTAGTCAGTCGTCCTCAGTCCGGGAGTATGGATAGGACATAGTCATTCGTCGTTAATCCGGGAGAATGGATTTACACATAGACACTTGTCCCTAATCCGAGAGTATAGAATGGGCACAATTATTGATCCGAGAGCATGGATTAGATCCGAGAGTATGGATTAAGTAAGAGGTAAAATTTAAGGTCCGGGAGTATGGATAGTCTCGTTGTGAGGATTAACGGGGTGGGGTAAGAGTTGCTATTATATATATGGTAAAATTGTATATTTTTGTGAGTCTAAATTGTATATATGATATGACATTGTGGGATTGAAAACCCTATGTACTCACCAGGTTTCCCAACCTGACCCACTCAAGCTTATTTGAATCACAGGTGTCGATACGAAGTTACATTACACTGAGAGATTAAAGAGGTGTAGATCACTAGTGTAAATGAATGTAAGTTTTGTTTATGCTTATGTTTCTGTATTGACAATGACATCCCAAATGTTTTAAAATGAATAAAAATACATTTCTTCGGAAATGCTTTGATAACGTATTTATCATGTTTTTCTGGGAACAAATTCCGCAACATTTTTATAAAAAGAAGTACTCTGATTTTTATAAAGCATAAACAAAATCGGTCTTTTCTGGCCGTGAAAATGGGGATGTCACAGTTGGTATCAGAGCATTAGTTTAAGCGAACTAGGAATATGGATTTATTTCTAGACTTAAACTTATAATGCTAAGCAATGATTGTGAGGAGTGTGTCTTAGGTAATACACCTGAATAGACACAAGCACTAGCTTATTTAGGAAAAATGCCTAACATGCTTTTATGTGCCAAATGATTTATGATGCTTTATGATATACATTATATGATCGGATCTATGGTCTGTTGCCGACCGGATCTGGAAACTTTATGTGTTCAGGTTTCTAAACGTTTAAATACGGTATTAGAACTGGCATATAACTTTTCGGAGTAATAGGGAGATTTATATGTCAAACGTCAATAAAATCTTTCC